CTTTGGACACGATACCGAAGCACTGGTACCGTGGCTGAGCGCCATGGAGGACGGTATCGCTGCACCACACGGAGACAAGACCGATACATTCAAATCTTAACTCGAAGAGCTCCAACAATAACCGCCATGATGTTAGCCGTGAGGCTTCATCAGTCTTCAGGGAACTTAATTAGCGACCAAACAGTCAGAAACCGCTTGCATGAAGTGAACCTTCATTCCCGAAGACCGCTACGGGTACCACCTATAGCAATGCACAATCGTAGGATTCGATATCAATGGGCTCTTGAACACAGAAATTGGGCAGAAGAACAATGGCGTTTCGTGTGCTTTTCTGATGAGTCTCGTTTTGGTATGAGACCGGATACAAGACGTATACGACACTGGAGAACCCCTGGACGCCAACAGCGATTAAAATCCTGCCAGGAAGTCCATCCTTATAGTGGTGGAACCATCATGGTATGGGCGGGTATTTGGATCGGCGGAAGAACTGAGTTGATTTGGATCAGAGGCAACCTCAACGCTCAAATTTATGCTGAGACGATTGTATCAGACGTCATCGTTCCTCTACAAGTGCAAATCGGTCCCTTATTTCAGTTAATGCATGATAATGCACGACCGCACACCGCAAGAGTTGTAAGACAGACTCTCGCCGCAGCTAACATCAATGTCCTGCCCTGGCCTGCTCAGTCGCCAGACTTGAACCCGATTGAGCATGCATGGGATATGCTACAGAGAAGAGCTCTGCCGAATATGGAGGGTATCCAGTCGCAAGAAGACCTTTTTTTGTTGTTGCAACGAACATGGGCGGCCATTCCACAGCGTGATTTGGATGAACTCATTTTGAGTATGCCAAACCGATGTTCTTGTGTTGTTAGTGTTCGCGGTAGAAATACGGATTATTAATTGTTTAAGTTACCCAATAAAATTTTAGAGAAAACTGTTATTTCAGTCTTTTTTTCGAACTTTTATGTTAGTGGTTCAAATGTCAAAAATCCCTTTATTAGGAAAATGGCAAATTTCTTTATTAATGCAAAGGTGACTTGGTTTATCGTTACTGTGACAAACGAAAACACTTTATTTGATGAATCCTTAAAGAAAATTTTAATTAATATCAATCAGGAGAAAAGTTATTGCAAAAATATATGTTGATCCCTAGACACTTTTGATGTGTGTAATTGCACTCAAACCATTGACATATTCTAGCCAAACCATGACCTAAATACAACCGGAAGTACACCTTAAAATTAAAGAACAGTGAAAGTAATCATTCCGTTACAGTTGGACGGAAGCCAATGCGAATTCAGAATTAGATTACCTTGGCATAGGCGAATACAGATGTGACACAAGCGTTGTGTATTAATGTACCTGAAAGTTGACCTTGGATTTATAGCTATTCAATAGTTATTTGCTACTACGATTCTGCTGTCATTCATCAAAAGATCGTGCATGAGAAATAATTACAATGCCACTTCAAAAATACATATTTAAAAAAAAACACTAAAATAACAAATACCAGAAAAAAGGTTCCGCTCTGACACACGATTCTCTTATGCTAGTCAAAAAAAAATACATATAGTTTTAAAATAAACCTGATACATTAAATATAATTATTATTTATTTTTGGAAAAAAGGATCAATATTGGGATTTTTATTTTAAACAATGTCAAAATATAACATGTAAATACAAATTTGCTTTCGTCTCACTAATCCGCTTTTACCATTCCCTCAATTTTCTTCGGATTATTGTGTCCTTGTAAGCTTCCAACGCTCAGTATAGGCACGTCATTATCATCAGCTAATTAATGTCCCTACTGCTGTGTCACAGGCCTTCCCTTTAAATCACATAGGGAGTGTAAACCAAATTCAGAGAAGGTCGGCGAAGAACATTAAAATGACTTAGAAATTTCCTTTAAATATATATTTGTAAACATTACAACGTAATAATCCACTCATTTGGTTATTAACAATTTTAGCACAATAACAATGTTTTTCATGTGTTATCCATTTGAAAATCTTCCAACGAATGCCCGCTCCACGCCTGTTACTCCTACCAAAACAATTCAAAGTGACGCGAAACATACTAGCGCATGAATTAGTCGTATTCAATACTTTTTTTTACATATTTTAAACTAAGGAACATTATTCAACAAATATAATACTAATAAATTAAAAATATCATATTTATTAATGTAAATTATCGATTGATCAGTAACGAAGTTCAATGCATTTATAGTGAAAAAACAAATAGAGATAATCATACTAGTAAACTTTATGTCACATTGATAGGTTGAGCAACTTATTCTATACCAAAGAAATAGCAAAATGCCTCCTTTAAGCATTGGCCACGACCCATCACGTGTTTAATAAAGGTAAAAGGGCCTTGCGGTTTTTCCGCTTTGAGCTTACCTTACAAAAGATCGCTGTAAAATAACACTACCCTTTTGTGGTTTTTTTGAGTGTGTATGCTGTTGGTCACAGATGACCTTTACAGCGTCACCGGGTTTGACCTTTTGAGCTGTTAAGATTTTGTCGCTGAGTAAGTTTCCAAGATTCCACGAGGTAAGGGATTGGGCCAGGGTAGGCAACGGCGCGAAGTTATTTACCATCAGGCGGGCCATACGCTTGTTTGCCAACCTTTTAACATAAAAGAGGCGGGCCTAGTGCAGATTGGTCAAGTCAGGCATGACATGTCTTGTATCCTTATTCGGCGGTCAAAGTTCTTGTAGGGTGATAGGTTCAGAGTTATTGTGTATATTGGGTAGGTGTTTAATGATTTCGTCAAGGCTTAAGTTGGATGAAATGAGCTGGTAGGAGTTCTTCACGTGTCCTCGTATCATTCCTGATAGCGAGGAAGGTGTCACATCTTTCCCTGACAATAATGGGCCATTGCATAAAACAATTATTTTACGCAGACATTGTAGCGGTAGCTTACTAGTATATAAGGTATCATTGTATATACTATAAAGTCGAGACTGACATAACCAAATGTAACAATGTCACTGCAAGGACAGTTCAATTGAATTCAACTGCGTTAAGGTAATTAAACGTTAATTATATGATTTACATGTGTAGTATATTGATTGTGACCTTGGTTGATTAGTGTTTATTTAAAAAAAATTTGGTTGTATAATTTGAAGATAAAAAAGATCAGTAATAAGAGAAGTAAGATATTTACGTAGTGCAATCGTAAGCGCGTTCGATAGTGAATATAAGTTGAAAGAAGCAACTTTCACATTGGCCGCTTTTATATGATTGTATGATGGGTGGAAAATACTTGGCATACAGTGGACACAATTCCGAACCAATGCATCCATCCTCTAGGAACTGTCTATCAAACAACGTCTGTTTTCCATCGTACAAGGTCGTATTCTAACTTCCTTTGGCCACATCTCACGCCGAGAAGATGCGTCAGTGGAACGACTGGTGGTGCAGGGCAAAGTCGAGGGTGCAAGGGCGTGCGGCAGATCACCAATGCGCTGGACTGACCAGATAAAAGCGGCACTGAACGGTCCACTTCACGAGTGCACTAGGAAGGTCGCAGTGCGGGACGAATGGCGGCGTATTGTGAAGCGCGCCACCAATCCTGATGTGACGACCACGACCACTCTGTCAAGAGTGTAGCGCCGGAGAAGAATGACGGGTGACCAAAAGCTTTTTACTATGTGGAAAGGGTGGGAAACAAGCTCTTGGAAAACGGTTATCATTGCCTAAAGACGCTGTCGATACTAAATCCTATGCTTTGCCTACCCTGACCGTAGGGGATTGGGTCAGGGTAGGCCGTGGAGCCCTGGAACCTTACTCACCGACAGAAACACAACACCATCAAAATACCTTTCGGTGGTTTTGTGTTAGTTATAATAATAACTAGCTGACCCAGCGAACTTCGTACTGCCATAAAAAATAGGGGTTGGTGGTAGAAGGGTGAAAATTTAGTGTTGTATGTATTTTTGGATGATGTATCATAAAAAAATAAAAAAAAAGTTACCTAAAATTGAAAAAAATAATTAGGGGTTACCCTTAACATTTAGGGAGATGAAAAATAGATGTCGTCCGATTCTCAGACCTACCCAATATGCACACAAAATTTCATGAGAATCGGAAAAGCCGTTTCGGAGGAGTTTAACCACAAACACCACGACACGAGAATTTTATATATTAGATAATAATTGAGGAGCTGGCGAACAAAAAGATATAATTACGCATCAGTACCCTTAGTACGAGTGCGAGCACACGAAAACTATCATAGTTTTCGTAATTGTAATTTATATTTCTATGTCCATTTTGGTGAAAAGTAACCAAATATACTTAAAATTTAAGGAGACGCAAATGATTTAATGATAGAATTTAAACACTGTTTATTTGTATTGAAACGAAAACAACAAAATCAGAAATCAGTATCCTTAGTACGAGTGCGAGGTCACGAAAACTATCATAGTTTTCGTAATTGTAAAACTCGTACTGAGGGTACTGGTCAAACTACTTTTTTTTACAGTCCGAAAGGTTTCAGGCCCCTTAAATTTGAATCTCAAATAATTTTCAATCAAAACCGCCTAAAACAATGTTAAAATTACTAAATTTATGAATTAAATACCATGCCAAAAGCTCATTGTAGGTATGTCATTCAGTTTTAAGCAGCTCCTGTTAAATTTAATTTTATATAATTAAACCGTTTTGTTCGCCAGCTACACAATTTATTCATGCCGAAATACTTATAAAGTACAAAATACAGCTGTTAATTTTACTGTGATCTTCTGTAAGAAGAAGGTTTAAACTTGAACGATTATTGGGTGCCGTTGTGCGGCTACTATCCCGACTTTATCTTATAGAGCGTTATAATACTCTGTTATACCACTTTAAAAGAATACAAGAGCCATTAAATGGCTGTTATACCGACAACTTAGCTGAAAAAGTCCTGTCTAATCATCTTGAGTCTAGTCGGGATGTCCATCATTGTTTTTCTCTGACATCTAATAATTTTGTTATTTCTTCATTTTCCATAGTTTGAGAGTTGGTTGAACTCCTGCGAAGAGTGTGGCAGCAAAGATGGCGCCTTGGGCAAGCTGGCTGATGTGAGAGCTGCTCTTCAATGGGCGAACAGCCATAAGAATGATGTTTTGAGCAGTTTGACGAATTCAGCGAAATTGACTGGTGCTTCCGTACTCATGATAGCCATAGGTATTCTTATGGCTTATGTATATTAGGAATTCAAATTAGAACTAAGAAGAAAATGATGTAAGAGACCTTCTTGCGCAGACTAACCTGAAAGATAAAAGGTTTTTTTTTATAAAATAATAGAATGTCATGTAATAATGAAATATTTAATTATGTAATTTGATATGATCGATTATGTTTTTGTAAATATGAAATTATACATAAAACCGCTTTATGTTTTTTTCTAGGAGAACGTCTAAACTATTAAAAATATGAAATATATATTTACATTGTAAAAAAAAAAACAAAAGTGCCTCCTAGACTGTAAAATAATCGTAGCTAATAACGAATCAACCTTATTCTATTTATATAAAAAAATAAGTAGAATTTATATTTTTGCAACTAATTGTGTTTGCAATAAAAAATAGGTAATGATGGATTATTTTGTAGTAACTTTTCCTTGTATTATTATAAATTTATTTCCCTTAATATACGAGCATTATGATCGTATTCCGAAGCAGCTGTTCTTATGAATAGAAATTATTTGAAAATCGTGTCAAACAATTTATGCAAAACGTACGCCTTAATAGGTAATTGACCACTTTCTCCAGTTGTAAAATAACAATGCATTTTACTTACATATGTTTGTTAAACATGACATGCCAGAGATTTCGAATAATAGCTAAGAAAAACTATTTCATTTTTTACTCTTAACATTCATTACCCATTTTTCATTTGTATCAAGTTATTTGTTTAAAATACACAAGCAACATGCAGGGTGAGGATGGCTGGTGTGGCTGGTAGAACTGCTGTACCAGCTGTCTTTACGTCTGGACTTTACCGTCACTAAACAGGTGAATCAGGTGGAGTGAATTTATTTATTTTTTAGAAACAAACGGTCATACATATAAATGTGAAAATATTATAATTTTATATCACTACAGACCTATAGTTTCCTTAACTAGAAATCGCACTGTACAGCTAAAACGCAGCAAATCGAAATGAGCTAACAATACAAATCGACCCGGCCCCCCGCCCCCGGAAACCCCCGGAAAATGTTTCTCCAGTAATGCATTAATGTAAATATATTTTTTACGCACAATAGGGATGATGACTAATTTTTTTTTCTTCGTTTATCAGGTAGATTATCAAAGAGTATAGGACACGCATTTTTTCTTTTTTCACATAATATAAACATTGCAGGGATATATTGATTTGAAAAGTCGCATGACGTCACGTTTGAGTACACTTATAAGTGAAAATTCACTCAAAAGTGACGTCACGAGCCCCTACTCCCAAACTTTGACGTGCTATAACTTTGTCATTTTTTGGTTGATTGCCCAAAGAAAAAATACGTGTCCATTATTTTTTGATCATCTAACTGACGGACTAAATAGAATTTCGTTTACTGTACCCCGTCATCACCCCTGTTGACGGACGGACAGACGAAAAGCCTGGGTGAAGTCATTTGTCGGACTTATCTATAAAAAAAAACAATTGTAATTTTTTTTATATATTAACTATTTTCATTTAGATACTTAAGTGATATTAAAAAGAGGTCCCTCTCCACTGTACTTAAGATAGTATCATATAATACGAAGTAAAATATTAACTCAATGACATTTGTTTATGTCACTTTTTAAGTAAAATAAAATTTTGTAATGTACACAAAATTGTAAAAGTGAATTGTTTATGTCTCTTGAATTCAATACAATATTTTTAAAGAAACATTTTGTCTTTTATTTTAATAAAGTTATATGCATACTTATTATTCAAGAAATGGACGTAGACCAAAACAAAGATAGGTAGATGAAATTAACGACGGGGCTGGTAGAGACTCTGGATCACTAAGGCCAAAGATAGAAAAACTTGGAGTAAAATTGAGGAGGCCTTTACTCGCTGAGGAATCCTTAATAAATAGAAAAATGGATGCGTGTAACTTATGTACGCGCGTGAGAAGTTATATTTCTTTAGCATCATTAAAAATATTTTTTAATTGCATGCAAATAATTAATAATTACAATAAAATAATAAAAGGACTGGAAAAGGATAGTTAACACAGTCAATTAAGTTCAGTTTTAATTTGAAAAATTAAATAAATATTCAAAATATTCAATTAAAATCACTACTGAATTTAAGTTATTAGTTCATATGTAATTAGCACTTGTAAGTAACTAAAACACGTTGTGTCTATATAGAAACTAGAAACATGTGGATAAATATTATAAATATGAAAACAGTGATCAGAGGCGACGAGCGTGCCAACATTGTTTTTGACAACGCGATCATCTTATGGAGCTCCGTGGATCGTTCAAAGTACCTTTCGAACAGATGTCTAATAATGGTGGATTATTAACCACTGAGTGGTTAATAATCCACCATTATTAGACACTAACATTCATAAAGCGCCCGAGGCCAACTTCATGGTGTTACTATTGTGTTACAGTGATGCGCGCGCATCTCGAAATTTCACTAACATCATTTTTTCATAACGCGCCCGCGGCTTACTTCATTATGTGACATTTGGGTTACAGTGATGCGCGCGCATCTTAAAATTTCACTCTCATAATTTTTTCATAACGCGGCTAAAGAAGTATAACTTCAAAAAATGTATTGTATTTTTTTTATGTTTGTAATCAAATTAATTAATTGACCTGATTTAAATTGTATTAAATGAATGGCATGTATATTATTTTATTAAGAAATTAAAAGGCTTTAATTATAATACTTATTATTACTATAAACCCTTATTCTTTTTATGACGACCTCCGTGGCCGAGTAGTTTGTACGCCGGGTTTCATGGTGTCGCCGACTCAAGAGGTCCCGGGTTCGAATTCCGGTGGGGGCAGATGTTTGTGTGATGAATACGAGCATTTGTACTCCAGTCATGGATGTTTAATATGTATTTCTATAGTAATATATTTATATATGTACAATGTATGTATACTATCCGTTACCCTAGCATTCCCTAAAACAAGCCTTACTGTGCTTACTTTGGAGCTAGGCTAATTGGTGTGAGTGTTAGAAATATTTATTTATTGACTGACTGACAAAATAGTGATGTAGTGTATTAGAGCTTAAGTTAACAAGTAAGCAAGCTTTTTCCAAACTATTTTGAAAGAATCAGAAAGATTATTCAATTACACCCAATGTTTTAATAGTTTTGTAACTAAATTATATGACAATGGAATGGTTACAGATGTCAAGCAGTGTTATTTTTTTCTTTTTGTAATAATGTGCAAGCACAGCAAACAACAGCATTGCCCGGCGCCAAAAAGCTTCCACAAGCTCCATAGTTTACCATCTTTAGTCCAAAAATTTAAATTATAATTATAAAGTCTAAATTAAAGGGAGACAAATAAAAATAAGAACAGGTGCTGGGGTCTAAAACAAATTTTAAAAAAAAGGAAAAATATAATAATAAAAAATACGAGTGCGGGATTTTTACCGACGACCGCGGTGATGCGTCGAACGTTGGTCCCGTGGCAAAAATGCACTGCGCCGTTTCAATCGATACTAGAAAGGTGAAAATTGTGTTCATATGCACTGTTGTCATTCACGTTACGGATTTTTTGATTCGGTCGCCGCGCTCAAAGCCCGCGATAAAATCTATGCAATAGCTTAAAAATGGGCCATTGCATAAAACAATTATTTTACGCAGACATTGTAGCGGTCGCTAACTAGTATAAGGTAACATTGTAAATACTATAAATTCGGGACTTACCTAACCAAATGTAACAATGTCACTACAAGGACAGTTCAATTGAATACAATTGCGTTAAGGTAATTAAACGATAATTAAATGATTTACATGTGTAGTATATTGATTGTGACCTTGTTTGATTAGTGTTTATTTAAAAAAAAATTTGGTTGTATAATTTGAAAATAAAAAAGAACAGTAATAAGAGAAGTATTATATTTATGTAGTGCAATCGTTAGCGCGTTTGGTAGTGAAAATAAGTTAAAAGAAGCAACTTTCACATTGGCCGCTTTTATATGATTGTATGATGGGTGACCAAAAGCTTTTTATTATGTGGAAAGGGTGGGAAACAAGCTCTTGGTAAACGGTTATCATTGCTTAAAGACGCTGTCGATGCTAAATCCTATGCATTGCCTACCCTGACCCAATACCCTACCTCGTGGAGACCTGGAACCATACTCACCGACAGAAACACAACACCATCAAAATACCTTGCGGTGGTTTTGTGTTATTTATAATAATAACTAGCTGACCCAGCGAACTTCGTACTGCCATAAAAAATAGGGGTTGGTGGTAGAAGGGTGAAAATTTAGTGTTGTATGTATTTTTGGATGATGTATCATAAAAAAATAAAAAAAAAGTTACCTAAAATTGAAAAAAATAATTAGGGGTTACCCTTAACATTTAGGGAGATGAAAAATAGATGTCGTCCGATTCTCAGACCTACCCAATATGCACACAAAATTTCATGAGAATCGGAAAAGCCGTTTCGGAGGAGTTTAACCACAAACACCACGACACGAGAATTTTATATATTAGATAATAATTGAGGAGCTGGCGAACAAAAAGATATAATTACGCATCAGTACCCTTAGTACGAGTGCGAGCACACGAAAACTATCATAGTTTTCGTAATTGTAATTTATATTTCTATGTCCATTTTGGTGAAAAGTAACCAAATATACTTAAAATTTAAGAAGACGCAAATGATTTAATGATAGAATTTAAACACTGTTTATTTGTATTGAAACGAAAACAACAAAATCAGAAATCAGTATCCTTAGTACGAGTGCGAGGTCACGAAAACTATCATAGTTTTCGTAATTGTAAAACTCGTACTGAGGGTACTGGTCAAACTACTTTTTTTTACAGTCCGAAAGGTTTCAGGCCCCTTAAATTTGAATCTCAAATAATTTTCAATCAAAACCGCCTAAAACAATGTTAAAATTACTAAATTTATGAATTAAATACCATGCCAAAAGCTCATTGTAGGTATGTCATTCAGTTTTAAGCAGCTCCTGTTAAATTTAATTTTATATAATTAAACCGTTTTGTTCGCCAGCTACACAATTTATTCATGCCGAAATACTTATAAAGTACAAAATACAGCTGTTAATTTTACTGTGATCTTCTGTAAGAAGAAGGTTTAAACTTGAACGATTATTGGGTGCCGTTGTGCGGCTACTATCCCGACTTTATCTTATAGAGCGGTATAATACTCTGTTATACCACTTTAAAAGAATACAAGAGCCATTAAATGGCTGTTATACCGACAACTTAGCTGAAAAAGTCCTGTCTAATCATCTTAAGTCTAGTCGGGATGTCCATCATTGTTTTTCTCTGACACCTAATAATTTTGTTATTTCTTTCTCTTCCACAGTTCGAGAGTTGGTTGAACTCCTGCGAAGAGTGTGGCAGCAAAGATGGCGCCTTGGGCAAGCTGGCTGATGTGAGAGCTGCTCTTCAATGGGCGAACAGCCACAAGAATGATGTTTTGAGCAGTTTGACGAATTCAGCAAGAGTGACTGGTGCTTCCGTACTCATGATAGCCATAGGTATTTTTATGGCTTATGTATATTAGGAATTCAAATTAGAACTAAGAAGAAAATGATGTAAGAGACCTTCTTGCGCAGACTAACCAGAAAGATAAGTTTTTTTTTATAAAATAATAGAATGTCATGTAATAATGAAATATTTAATTATGTAATTTGATATGATCGATTATGTTTTTGTAAATATGAAATTATACATAAAACCGCTTTATGTTTTTTTCTAGGAGAACGTCTAAACTATTAAAAATATGAAATATATATTTACATTGTAAAAAAAAAAACAAAAGTGCCTCCTAGACTGTAAAATAATCGTAGCTAATAACGAATCAATCTTATTCTATTTATTTAAAAAAATAAGTAGAATTAATATTTTTGCAACTAACTGTGTTTGTAATAAAAAATAGCTAATGATGGATTATTTTGTAGTAACTGTTCCTTGTATTATTATAAATTTATTTCCCTTAATATACGAGCATTATGATCGTATTCCGAAGCAGCTGTTCTTATGAATAGAAATTATTTGAAAATCGTGTCAAACAGTTTATGCAAAACGTACGCCTTATCAGGTAATGGACCACTTTCTCCACTTGAAAAATAACAAAGCATTTTTTTCTATATGGCTTCGCACGGTTTGAGCATTTAGCCAATGTCAAGTGTAAAATGTAAATATTAGTCAAGTCAAAGTAAGTGGCAGTCAAGTCAATCCCCCTTTCCCTATGTTTCAGTAAATGTATGGGGATTTACTGGAACCTCCCTGTGGACTTCTTGAGGGAACGTCGAAAGACACTTTCCGCTATTTTGTTTCACTTGCCAACACTTGTGCATGTTCCCGAACACTTAGTGGTTAATAATCCACCATTATTAGACACTAACATCAGCCACAACACAATTTTTAACAAGACAAACAAAACTGCTAAAGTGACGCTTCCCGATCCCGCCAAAAAGTCAAACAATGCATTTTACTTACATTTGTTTGTTAAACATGACATGCCAGAGATTTCGAATAATAGCTAAGAAAAACTATTACTACTACCATTTTTCATTTGTATCATTTTTTTACAAGCTTTTATTTAACTTGCAATGTATGTTT